GGCGAGCTCTCGGACTCTTTTGATATCCACAGTTTCAAGATAGTCCAATAACTTGCTCATGTCTGGGTCATCCGTTCCGTCGCCCATATTGTTCGCCAAGAATTGCAACCACCCATTGCGTTCCGGAGTCGAACCCAAACGACGTGTACCATCGACAATGGAACCAATATACATTGCTCTCACTTGGTGAAGAATCGATTTTTCTTCCCCCAACTTCTCCAGCAATTCGGAATTCTTGATTGGATTGCAAGCATAGACATTCACTATATCACTCAAGATGATCAAATGCTTTTTATCTTCGTTGAGTGATGTGTACAATCGAATGTGAATCGCTGGATTGCCACTAGGAATCTTCAAAAATTGGAGATTGGGGCAGTCTTCGAGGATATTCTTGGGGACAACCGTCACATTGGGAGCAAAGTAGACTGTTTCAAGTCTAGGACATTCGTAAAAGGCTCCATCTACAATCGTTTCCAACGCAGTTGCCTCGGTGAAATCAATTTCCTTTAGATTTTCACAATATGCAAAGGCCTCCTTTCCAATCGTCTTGACATTGGATGGGCACTTGAAAGCAAGGAGACTAGGACAAATGTTAAAGGCCCATTTTCCAATCGTTTCCAATGCAGTTGCCTTTGTGAAATCAACTTCCTTTAGCTTTGCACATTTCTCAAAGGCCATCTTTCCAATAGTCTTTACATTGGATGGGCACTTGAAAGCAAGGAGACTAGGACAGGATTTAAAGGCTGATTCTCCAATTGTTTCCAACGCAGTTGCCTCGGTGAAATCAATTTCCTTTAGATTTTCACATTCATAAAAGGCACAATTTCCAATAGTCTTGACATTGGATGGGCACTTGAAAGCAAGGAGACTAGGACACTCGTAAAAGGCTCGTTCTCCAATCGTTTCCAACGCAGTTGCCTCGGTGAAATCAATTTCCTTTAGATTTTCACATTCATAAAAGGCCTTACGTCCAATAGTCTTGACATTGGATGGGCACTTGAAAGCAAGGAGACTAGGACAATAGTCAAAGGCTTGTTTTCCAATCGTTTCCAACGCAGTTGCCTCGGTGTAATCAATTTCCTCTAGCTTTGCACAATATGCAAAGGCCTGCCGTCCAATCGTCTTGACATTGGATGGGCACTTGAAAGCAAGGAGACTAGGAGACTTGTAAAAGGCTGAATCTCCAATCGTTTCCAACGCAGTTGCCTCGGTGAAATCAATTTCCTTTAGCTCTGCACATCCTGTAAAGGCAGCCTCTTCAATAGTCTTGACATTGGATGGGCAGTTGAAAGCAAGGAGACTATGACACGCAAAAAAGGCCCATTCTCTGATCGTTTCCAACGCAGTTGCCTCGGTGAAATCAATTTCCTTTAGATTAACACAATATGCAAAGGCATAATCTCCAATCGTCTTGAAATTGGATGGGCACTTGAAAGCAAAGAGACTATGACAGTTGTAAAAGGCTCCATGTTCAATCGTTTCCAACGCAGTAGCCTTGGTGAAATCAACTTTCTTTAGCTTTGTACATTCCTCAAAGGCGTCCTTTCCAATCGTCTTGACATTGGATGGGCACTTGAAACCAAGGAGACTAGAACAATAGCTAAAGGCTTCATCTCCAATCGATTCCAACGCAGTTGCCTCGGTGAAATCAATTTCCTTTAGCTTTGCACATTCCTTGAAGACCCCCTCTTTAATAGTCTTTACATTAGGCCCGCGCACAATCAACTTTGTCATGGTTCGTTTGATTTCTTCTGTGATTTCTTTGTCTTCACTATCGTACACAAATTCGACATATTCGACAATCTCTTCTTCTTCATCATCGTTGTTTGATTTTGGTGGCATTTCTTCTTTCTCATCCATTGTACCCGGTACTTTTATTGTGTAATAT